ATATTTTAGTTAAATAAAGTTGTGGAATTTCTACCCAAAAATAAAAGAGGTGGTTTGATATTTTTTAGGGTATAATCTCTTTTCTTTTTTTTTCTTTTTTTTTTTCTAAAGATTGATTATTGGGATGAGACTGTATATACAAAATTTAGGGTCACATGTTATTGCTATTTATAATTGATTATTGTGTGTAGTTTCCATAAGGTTGCAACCTTAAACAATCCAATTAAGGTGCACCTTCAAATTTTATCATACCATATAATTTTGATGTAAAATGTTCTTAGGATTATCTCAAAATCTATTTTTATATCTAGTTATAAAATTTTAAATTCCAAAAATGGTTAAAGTCAAGTAGATCTATAAACATATGAAAATCTTGAAAATGGATGGTGTACATAATATGTTGTAAGATGTACTATTCTAAGACTCAAAATCTTTTTATTTTTCGTAGTCATATATTTCAATGTCGAAATGATCAATCACATGGCTTTTCAACATTAAAACAACTTTTTTGATGGATTTTTGAGGTGCATCCGTAGTTCTATATTTTAAGGTTGCAACCTTATATAAACATTTTCCTTAGATTATGGGGATGAGAGTATTTATACAGAATTTGAGGTCACGCAAATGCTACAAATATGATTTTTTAAGAGAGCTGTTTCATTGTATTATAGTGAAAAGGTGAGATGAATATAGATGCGATGCTATTAAATGAAACATTTAGTGAAATGCATGTTTAGATTAGAAAAGATGGTCAATATCGTAAACGCCATTAAAATGTCATCAGTTGAATTATTGCAGCTTAGGGTGGGGTCGAGGCCGGACCTAGACTTGGACCCGAAAAAAAATTATAGGACCCGGACCTGAAGTTATCGGACTCGAACCTAGACTCGAATGGTGTTCGGGTCCAATATTTGAACTCGAACCCAACCCCACCGGTTTCAATTCTTGGACTCATAGCCGGACCCAAGTCGGGTCTGAATGTCGGTCCCACGTCGTGTCCAGGTCGATTGCCACCCCTATTAATGCTTCTCCACATAAGAATATGTCATATTTATTTTGGTGGGTTATTCCTCAGTGGATTTTATAATATGTGGTCTTCTTTTCAAGTTGTCTAATATGAAGATGCAAGAATATTCTTGTTAAAGTGAGCAAGTTGATTTCCTATTCAGGATTGAAGATGGTATCCACCAAAATCAAGACAAGTTATTCAACTCCAAAAATAAAATAAATGAAAAAGGATATAAAAAAGAAGAAGTTAGAAGTCATGATTCAATGGATTCCTAATTTTGGAGAGCCTCTAATAAGAGGACGCACATGGACAATGACTGATACATTAATTGAATAATTCAATGGATTCTTTTTCTTCCTCTTCTTTTTTTTTTCTTTTATTTCCTTGGATTTTGAGGCCAAGTGCATGTACTTCTTTCATTAACTCAATGAAATCTCATAAATAATTCGAAAAAAATAAAAATAAAAAAATGATAAGAGAGACCTGAAGATGGCCTGTAGAAAGGTATACCATCTTTACGAGCGATAATTTTTTGGTAGGATGGCAAGGGCGGGGCCGCCTAGTCCACTAAATTCGGGCCAAGGGCCCAACTCTAGCTTTTAATCTGGACCAGGTGTCCCTTCCAGATGGGCCTACACTAATGGTCTTGACCGGGCTCGGCCTGAAAACACTAAATATCTTCTAGCTCAGCTTGACCCTAATAATAGGGTGGATTAGGCCTCCCAATATAACTAGGCTTGAACTAGCGCCTCTTTGCCAAAATCTAAGCTTGAAAAGGATTTTTATTTTTCTTACAAACATCAAAAACCTCAAGCAAAAGTAGGGAAGCACCCCTCCAAGGCAATCAGCATCATGATTTGCCTCCCAATAAATATGACAAAAAGTGAGATGCAAAAAGTCTGCCAGATGTAACACTTGTTGGAGAGTCGTTTTTAATTCAACATGACTCTCAGTTTTAAGTGCACCATCTGATGACATTCAAAGAGTCCCCTTCCACCATACAAAAATTATCCGAGTTTTTAATCTTAAAGAGCTTCAAACCTTGCAAGATATTCAACTAGGCTTGGACTAGCTGAAGCTCGAGTTTCATAGAGAAATACTTGAAAAGTGGTGCACATAAGACAGATTATCGGTGTTCAAAACCACAGCCATACTTGGCCCGATTATGGCCAAGGCAAAAAAATGTTTTTTTTTTTTTAATAAAAAACAAAATCCCCCCCAAAATGGACAAATATATTTAAAGTAAAATTAAGCAAGACACGATGGTAAAAAAGAAGCAAAACATGGAGTTTGAAAAAATCAATTTGTGACGGGAGGTATGTTTTTTAAAAAATTAATCCAAAAAGAAGGAAAAAAGTAAAAATTAAGTATTCACGGCCAAAACACTTTCCAAAATTTGGAAACATGATAGAAAATATAAATAAAAAATCACAAATAAATTCCTTATTTTTGGAATTTTTTAAATTTATTTAATATCCCAAGCGAGACACGGATACTGTGGCGAGCTTAAGTACTCAGAACTCGGAACAAATAGTCGAACATTGGAGATTATTTTTATAAGATGAGTTTGAGAGAGAGACAGATGATTGAAGGGGTCTTCTAGATCTGATTGACCTCATTGAAGGCTATGTTACATAGATACGGACACACTTTGTCCATTTATAACACGGATATAAGTATAAAAAAATGTAAATTCTAAATATTGACATTTTGACACAACATGTCCGTACAATAGACAAATATATGTATATATGTACATCTATATATACATATATTAAAATCTATGTGTAATTCACATATACATTTACATATATCAAAATTTGATACAAGGACAAGCAATGGATATGACAAAAGTATTATAAAATATAAAAAATATAAAATACAAGAAGACAAGTTTTAAAATATTACAAAGTACTAGAAAATCATTTATACAAACGAAAAACACAAGGAGTGCTATAAAATTTAATAGTAAAAATTGAAGAATTAACTCCTATCAAGTATAAAGTACAATACTTCTTTTTTTGGGTATTTCAGTGGGGAAGCAAACCCCTACCCGTGTTTTTAATAGATTGGGGAGTTATATTTTGAAGATGTTAATTGGGGGTATCAACGATAGGAATGCAGCGGGGAAGCAAGCCCCTACCCGTTTTTTAATAGATTGGGGAGTTATATTTTGAAGATGTTAATTGGGAGCATCAAGGATAGGAATGCAACGGGGAAGCAAGCCTCTACCCGTTTTGTAATAGATTGGGGAGTTATATTTTGAAGATGTTAATTGGGGGTATCAACGATATGAATAGATACTACGATTGTGGTAACTGGATGTAGGGATGTTACCACAGCCCCAGCCCCTTTTCTATCTAAGTAGGATACTTTCTATAACAAAAGTACAAGCTCTGAAAATTAGTAATCAGAAATTGCACATACATTTAATGGTAAAAAAATAAAGAACTTACATGACACAAGATAAATGAGAGGCAAATGAGAAAATAGCATATAAAAGCTAAAGAATTGTGATAAATATTTCAGACCCCATGATCCTTAGATTTGGAAGGAATGAGAGGGCCCACATCAAAAGGCAGTTGAACTTGCATAGCGAAAAGGGGATACCTTTACCCACGTTCAATCCTTTTATACCCGACCGCCTAATGTGCTAAAGTGGTTTATGATGGTCTATAGCTTAGAGAGGAAAAAAACCATTAGTCCACAGAGCTTGGCCATAGTGGTTTACCATTTGGAGAGGGAAAAACAAGTTGAGAATGGACAAATATTAGAAAATTTATTTTGTAATTATAATAACAATGACTTATGAAAACCTTAATTTAATAAATAAAGATATTTTATATTTTTTTTAAACTATTTATTTATTTTAAAATATTAATTACTTTTAAAATAAAATATCTTCAATGAAAAATAGTGTCTAAATAAAGAAATGTCACGGAAAAAAAAGCCGTAGTAGACATTTAATAAAGGGTGCGGTTTGTATAGAGCCTAGGTTCTAAACAATCAAATTAGAACCTACCTTCAAATAGTGTAGAGAAATGTCGTTTCAATATTGGAAATCTTTGTAATAGCCTTAAATATATTTTTATAAAATTTAAATATTCAAAAACAGTGTAGATCGACAAATATATAAAATCTTAAAAACCTTAAAAAATTGACCGTCCAAAAATGTATTATAAAATACATTATTTTCAAATTTTGAAATCCATTTTTTTCTCTTTTCCAGTTGATTCGGAGAGGACCAATTTAAAGATATTTGGGCATCAAAACAACCTCTTCTAATGAAATTTTATTTTTGAGAGGTAGACTCAAATTTGATCGTCCTATATAAACGTTTTCCTTTAATAAATTTTTGAAGTGAGATTCGTATCTATTAAAAGAGGTTTCTAAATCAAGAGAGATGATTGAAGGGGGTTTTTAGATCAAGAGAGAGGTTTTTAGATGAGTGGTGGTGGAAATGTAGAGAGCGAGAGAGAGAGAGAGAGAGTCAGGAGAAGGTGAATTTTGACAAGAGAGGAGTGCACAGTTTGTGGCCACAAAGAAGGTGACGGAATCAGCCATTATCCTTTATTTTATTATTTTCTATTGGGACGGTCCAAGGAATCTTCCGTTATTTTAAGTATCATTTAACGCCGTGCTGACGTTATTGTACGAACGAAAACGCAGTGTCCCCCGCAACTTGATTCTTTAATGGAAGATACCAAAAGATTCCAAATGCGACGCAACAGAATCCACTTCGATTTCGGATCTCTCTAGAATCCACTTGGATTCCCCCTCTCTCTCTCTCTCTCTCTCTTTCTCTCTCTAGAATTAGAATAAGAAAGTGGCCCACCAATCCAGGCTGGGAGGAACGCCCGAATTTAACTTTTTGAAACTATTTTCCTATGCACCATCTCTCTCTCACCCCTCCACCTCTTAATATGGGATAAAACTTTCCCTTCTCTCTCACATTTAGCAAAGCCAAACATCGGAAAAGCTCTCTCTCTCTCTCTCTCTCTCTCAGGGAAACATCAGAAAAGCTCTGTCTCTCTCTCTCTCTCTCTCTCATTAGCTATGGCAAACGTCGTAAAAGCTATTTCTCTCTCCTCTGTATAGGCAAAACATCTCTGTTTCCCTCTCCCCTGGATAGGCAAAACATCTCTCTCCTGTATAGAAAACATCAGGAAAGATGAAAGCACTCTCTCTCCCCCTTATTTAGCAGAGGCAAACATCAGGAAAGCTCTCTCTCTCTCTCTCTCTCTCTCTTATGCAGAGACCAACATCAAGATCTCACTCTGCATAGGCAAAACATCCGGAAAGCTTTATCTCATTAGCAGAGGCAAAGAACAGGATCTCTCTCTCTCTCTCTCTCTCTCTGTATTACTGAGGTTGCAGAGGCAAAGCATGGACTTGTTGAGGTCATGGGCTCTTCCTCTTCTCTCTGTTATGTCTGCCTTCCTCATAATTTTCTACACCCAAACTTTCTCCAAGGTTACTCTTTTCCCTCTATGCTCATCCCCTCTTTTGTGTACAATGAAAATAGAAATGAAAAACTCTTGCTTATTGGCTTTGCTAAATATATCCCTCTCTAATGCTGTGTAATACATCCACCTTTCTTTAAGCTCTGTATAATATTTCCTCTTGCTATAACTTATGATTCACAAACAAACTGCTCGTGAGCTCAAACTCCATGCCCTAAATCTTTCTTTCTATTGATTTAGTCGTTGGCTTGAATCTCTGGCCAGAACATCAATCAACAAGGCTACAAATAGGGTCAGGTCTGGGTCAAGTTGATTTTGATCTAGACCACACCTGACGGCGTCCAAACTGAGCCCGGAATCTCTCTTTCTTTCTCTCTAGAGAGAAAAAGATCATATCAGCCCATGGGCTGATGGAATAGTATAAACCCAACAGGTCATATTGCCGATCAAGCGATCACGACTGCATTTTGTATATTTATATGAGGTAGGACACGATCGAGTCGACCCAACTCTGATACCTTGGATCTATCATAAGGTAGGTTACGATCGGATCAACCCAACTCTGATAGGTTGGATCTATTATGAGGTAGGTTACGATCTGATCGACCCAACTCTGATAGGTGGACACATGCCCAACCCACCGGGTCCATTAGGTCAGGCTTGGACCTGGGTCAACATTACATGTCAACCATTGAATCCTCCTTTGCTTTTAATTTTAACTTTTTTTTGGATATTTGCCTGGAATATTCATGACTCTGATTTTTACTACTTAAAAAAGGTTATCCAGACATCACTCTCCTTTTGCTAATCATTTGTAGCCTTAAAGTAGTAAACTTGTTTTTGGTTTAAATCTAGAGATTTATTGTTGTTTAGACTGATGAAATTTCCGTAGATGTTTACTATTTCGTAAATCTGATTGCATTTTGTGATCTTAAAATTTGATTGATCATATTTTTCTTATCATTTGACTTTGGTTAACTCAGTGATCTTTTAGTGCAGTACGATGGTTATGATTCCCATAGTTCAGTTGTATGCGACACGGACACGAGTCCATGACCTTTTGTGTGTGTTCTCTAAAGACACGAAATCCTTACCAAGCACTATAGAAACTTGGACACTTTTTCTTAGTCTTTCTTCTTGGAAAACTCACAATAAGAGTATTTCTAGCAACTAAAATGCCACCTCCCCTTTCTTTAAATGATTTGTAAATGTGTGGTGTTTGAAAAGCCAATTATAAGATCGAAGTTTTGTAAAATTATATTTGTATCAGATGCTGATACATGTATTCATGTCTATATAACATAGGTTCTATTTCTGTGAACTTTGAACCACAAACCCAAGGATAGGATTTTCTTTTTTTTTCCCCTAGTCCTATGCGGTGGTGATGATTATTCATAATTCATAATAACTTGAAAATTGCACAATAGACCTGTCTAATTCTATTATTCTCCTATTTTAAAAGACACATATAAGTGTGTCTGACATGGAGACAAGTGTTAGAAAGGCAAACCCTAAGAGAACAACATGCCGATGCATTATCTAGATAAAAAGAAGTGTCTACATTTTTATAATATCAGACACAAATGTCGTACCCTTTTTGCCGTCAACATGTGCCAAAGAACCATATACTCACATGTTCATGTTATGTGGCCTTATTTTGTGTGAGTTGAAGTTATGTGGATAACTTTTTGAACTCTTCTCCATTTTGCCTTGGCGGTTGCAAATATTATGATTCTTTAACCATGCTTAATTATAGACAGAACTTGTATTTGCCTCCTACTCTGTTTGCACATAGACCTTACCAATCATATGAGATTGAGATGTCAAAAATATGATGGAATTTTTTTTCAAATTTGTAGCCAACCGGTGGAGAGTGTAGCCTTCTTCCTCATGACCACTTTTGGATCTCTAGTCAAAGGATTGTCACACCAGGAGGAGTCAGTGCTGGTGCAGGTTTGTTAATATAAAGTCCATACATAATAAATGAATCACTAATCTTTAGAATGACCCAAGGCAATGAAAAACTAATTTCTTTCTGGCATTTACAGTTGGGATTTCCTACAAAGAGACAATTTATCTTCACTGTAAGGAGGTTACAACCATTCCCGCTCATTAGATGTCAAATTGGATGGTTTTGAGTGAGTCAACAAGTTCAAGAATTTTTTTTTGGAACTGTGTGTCTATTCAATAACACTCGTACAACCGCCCATTTTGAAATTTAAGGGACGAGTGATTGTGACTTCTTTGTACAAAAGATACCTTTGGGAAGTATAGTAATGGTATGGTCACAAACGGGTCATTACTGCTCAACATTGGTCAAACAATGATCAAAAGTGAGTCCAGCCAAATATGTCACCAATTCACTACTCGAACCATTGATTGGATGGCGATGAACACTGTGTCCATAATGTTACCGTGATCATGTTTATAATACACCTTTCCTTCTTTTTTCCAATGTAGGCCATTGGGTCATCAAAATCTAATGAAATGATGGGTGGTGATTTAGAGGAGTGGTGTCCGTCTTTAGGGTCATTTGATATTCAGGTGCACCCCAATCCTCTCCATCACCATGGATCATTTCATTGGGCAGATGACCCAGATGCCACTCTGGGTTCTAGATATTGTAATTCTAGCGATCATTCTCAAAAAAAGAAAAAAATAATAAGATATTGTAATTCTAGCTATTTTCTTTATATTCATTGAAAAGCTAAGTTGTTTCTAAGTAACAACAATTTTCACCAATGCTAAGTAGTCAGACTCCAGTTTGTACTTTCCCAAGGGTCACCTTGAGTCTCTCCAGTCCGACTCAAACGAGTCAAAGATGGAGTAGCAAATTTTCAATAGAGCTATTTATATATTACAAAAAAACTAGGAAACTAGGGCAATTGTGGGATTTTTCGGCTAGAATAGCCTAACTCCCTCTGACTAGGGAAAGTCCAGATTTTAAGCAAATGATTTTCACGAATATTTTGATTACGTGCCTCAAGTTGTTGAAACTTGATGTTTCCCGTGCAAAGTTGAGGTGAGAGATGGAAAGATAATTTCTGTGGTCCAAAGGCCTCAAGATGGTGCAATTTTTAAAGAACCAATGATCGATTATGGAGAAGCTGTTATCATGCCTGGATTGGTTGATGTGTAAGTATAGTCTAAGACTTGTAAACTTTCCATAGTTCTCCCAACTATAATTCAATTTTTATTCTTATTTTAAATGGCTGTAAGGTTGCCAATTCAAATTAGAATCTAATTTGTTTTCCTGGAAATAATTCTGCACCTGTCAAAGTTAATACATAAAATATATACTCAAGAGGCATAATTCTATTCTTTTATGCATAAACAGGCACTTTATAAGAACTTTTTTATCATTTAGTTGATTTATCAATTGTTTTCCTAGGATGATTGTTGTCTTAAATTTGAAATTCACATTTACTAGAGTACCTATCTTTTGAGTACAACCTTCTGATAATTGTACAGGCATGCTCATCTTGATGAACCTGGAAGAGCTGAATGGGAAGGATTTGCAACAGGGACCAGGGCAGCTGCTGCAGGTATGTTTTAACCATGGAAAAATAACTAAATGAACATGGTCCTATATCAATATCTCTATAATTTTTTAAAGGATAAAATCCTTTATGAGAAATATTTTTGTTAACTTCCTGCTAAGTATCTTATTCTCATGATATGTACAATACAATAAGTGAAAAAATCATTAGAATGGTCAAACCACCTCCAAAAATCATTGAGGTGGTCAAATTAACCAATTCATCAACAAAGTAAATAATCTTTTTAATTCAAGTACTTCATTATTTTTTAATGAGTACCCAAAATACCCCTTGTTCTATATATAGAATCCTAAATATTTAGGGGTATTTTGATTATTTTGCCCTACTAAATTAACTCAGTCAAATGAGATAAATATGCCCACTTGTTCCAGGTTCCAAATACAGAATATGTTTCAAAATCTTCTTTTGGGTTTGGAACCCAGAATAAGTAGGGTAATTATCCCATTTGGCTCAACTTAAGCGGCTTGAGCTAAATGATGAAACTAACCCAACTTGTTTCAGGTTCCAAACCAGCAGATGTATTATAATGCTCTTGTTTCACTTTTAAAATCTAAAAAATAAGGACGTTTGGGTAATTTGGCCTCCCACCAATGGCATGGTCGAAATTACCAAAATATCCCTACTTGTTCATGATTCCAAACTCTAAATGGGCCTAAACAGGGGGCAGTTTGGTCATTTATTAACAAAACGCTCGAAGAGGTACTTGAGAGAAATGATCTTAGTAACCATTCACCCTAGTGCTTTTCGATGTGGTTTGACCATCTTTATGATCTTTTACCATATAACATTTACGTGGACTCGGATATTATAAATACTTGATTATTTATTAGTTTCATCACCAGATACTATAACGCCCTAAATCTTATCTGTCATGTAGTAAGCGGATAACCTTTCATGTTTCTCAACTGCAAGTTTAACGACAGTTGAAATATAGTAGAAATGTAGCAGTTTAGTGAACATGAGTGATTGCTGTGGCAATACAGGAGGCATCACGACCCTGATTGATATGCCCCTCAATAGCTTCCCAACAACAACAACCGAAGAAGCACTGCAACTTAAGGTTTAGTTCTTGGACTTGAACTTAGAAGTTTCCCTCGATGAAGTGTTCAAATTTAGATTGGAACTGTAGTTTCCCATAAATACATCTATCCTTAACATGTATTTATATCATAAATCTATTATTCTGTATTTATAACATGCAATTAAGTGTATTTATGTACATCATACTTTTGAAGAAAAGACAGAATCTGCTCTATGGACTTGTAGTGCTTCCATGCCTTTCTACTTTTTATTCAGTACTCTTTCTTTTTTTTGATGAGGTTTATTTTCATTACTTATTCCTAATGATTTGACTGGGGATCACTACGAAAGTTTCATTCATTTTCAATTTGTGGGGCTACTTTTGAGATATTATATTGGATATTTTGATGATTTATATGACTTCTATGCACTACTGATCAGTTCATTTAGCTTGTTAATGTGTGGATAGGTGGAGGCTGCACAAGCAAAAATCTATGTGGATGTCGGTATGCTCTTGGAACCATGGTTTTGAGCGTTGTTTATTCTCAAAGCAAGAACAAAATTTTGAGTACTGCATTTTTTAAGATCATCTCCCAAAGATAATCAAGAGAACTAACCTTCAAGTTACTTCATGATATAGCATTTAAAATAATGAAGTTTGCTATTATTTAAGTTTCCTTGGGGATTATGCTAAAGAGTGGATTGTGCTTGATATATGCAGGATTTTGGGGAGGGCTAGTGCCGGAGAATGCCTTCAATGCAACAGCTTTGGATGGACTTCTAAAAGCAGGTGTTCTTGGGCTCAAGGTAGTTAGTGGTCTGTCATAGTTCATAGGATCTAAGAAATGATGTGCACAAATACTTCGAAAGATATACCTCCGTAATCTCCAAGGAATATGAATGCAAAGAGCGGGATATGATGTCTCTGTTTTATTGCTCCTCATTATAGCTTTATATCTTAGAAACTTGCCATCCTGCTGCATTCCTTCTCACTTAATTATCATTTCTATTTTGCATTATATATTTATAGGATTCATCTCTGGTGCGTTTCTATGCCTCGCACCCATTTGACTGCTCTTAGCCATCCCAATTATTTCTCAGCTGAATTTATAATTATATGTAGGGGTGGAAAATCGGTTCGGTCTGGACCCAAATTCTGGATCTGACAGGTCAGGTTGGAGTCAACAGGATCTGACCTGACCCAGAATATACAAAAGTATAATATATTAAATATATATTAAAAATACATCCATCCATACACACACAGACACATACATAAGCTGTACTTTTAAACTGATATTTCTTCGGTTTTGTGGTTTTCAGTCGTTTATGTGTCCTTCAGGAATAGCTGATTTCCCAATGACAAACACAAGTCATATCAAGGTTTGCTCTTGATCTTTTGCCTTCGTAAGGAATTTTTCATTCGGAGTATGTCAATTGCTAAGCAGTCTTATTGGCATACATTGGCCACAGTTTCAGGATTAAATATTTTCTTAAAGATAGCTTAATAGTATGTCAGTCTCGTTCCTTGTAAATATTTATACGAGAAGAACAAATTTAGGTTGAAGGTTCATTATGTTTCATGTTTCATAGTCCTACTCTCTCCCTGTCTGCAATTTTGATCTAGAAGACAAAACATTTGTAGCATTAAAACAAAACCATGATGGCAAATGAATCACCAAAAAAGAAAAAAATCATGAAGCAAACAAAATAAAGCCCAAAATAATGTGGATAGAAATGTGAAGCAATGCAATTTAACCCTGGCAACAAATATTATGCTCCACATACCAGGGGTTAAGATGTAGAGTTTGGTTTACATTCAGCACCAGTAAACTTGAAATGCATGGGCTATTGGCCTTCATATGAGGACAAGGAATGCATGTTTACAATTTTAGCTGCAAACATGTATCCATATTTTAGCCATATAGTTCAACAGACTGGCTGGGTATCAAAACATGCAGTGAGTGGGCTATATGGTCTTCTCAACCTAGGTAGAGACTATGGGGCCATAGCTTTAAGAAATTGCATTTTCACTTAGTCAAATCACATAGAAATGTATCATGTTCTAAAAGGAATTGTATGATGTGTTAATCCATAATGACCACCTATAAATATAGTTGCTAACTTAGTATAAAACTAGCATTTAGATGAGACCTAGATTTTAACTAAATTGAACACTCAATCTCCGGGGACCTAACATGTACTTTCTTTTGTGTACCATATATAGTTTCAGCGCATCTGGCAATCACTGGTTTTGTTAATTTTTATTTTCCAATTTTCAGGAAGCACTACCCATACTAGCAAGGTACAGGAGACCTTTGCTTGTACATGCAGAAATCCAACCAGATCAATCAGAGTCCGGGTCCGAAAAACGACCACAACATAATATGGATGACCCTCGATCTTACTCAACATATCTTAAGACAAGACCACCTTCTTGGTGAGGATTAATAAGCTTTTTAAGAGCTGGGAAGACATATGGATATTGGACCTCATATGCAAACTCATCTAATCGTTCTTCTTCTCCTGTGTAGGGAGGAAGCAGCCATTAGAGAGTTATCAATGGTGGCAGAAGATACAAGAGAAAATGGACTTGCACAAGGAGGTCACCTCCATATTGTTCATTTGTCAGATGCAAGAGTTTCACTAGACATAATAAAGGTGTTTGACTCCTTTCTGAATAGCAAATTGCCATTAAATAAATATGCAAGTCAATAAATATACAAAAGTGATAATGTCGTGCTCTAGGAATATTCTTTAATTTCAAAGGTGAGGTATTATTTGCCCAAGAAAAAGGTAGAAAGATCAACTATTTATTTTTGTTCTTGTTGGATTGGAGGCCATTTCTACACAGAAACATTGATCATGTAATTGAAATTTGGTTCTCTAACAGGAGGCAAAGAGAAATGGTGCCAGTCTGACTGTTGAAACTTGCCCACACTACCTGGCATTTGCAGCAGAAGAGATCCAGAGTGGGGACACCCGTTTCAAGTGTGCACCACCCATACGTGAAGAAGCAAATAGGAAAATTTTGTGGGAGGCCCTCAAAGTTACTACAATTTTCTTTCTTAAATGAAACTGTTCCTAAGATTTTTTCACATGATATATTTAATAATAAAATACTCCAGAACTAATAAGAAAAAGCAAACTACTAAGATATTTACACCTCATTAATCTGTACTAATTGTTTTTTCTACAGGAAGGACATATTGACATGCTAAGTTCAGATCATTCACCATCGGTTCCTGAGCTCAAGCTTCTGGATGAGGGTGACTTTTTGAGGGCATGGGGTGGAATATCATCTTTGCAGGTGAACTCTCGTAGATTGTTACAACCACCAATGGAATATATATGTTGGTTTAAATATAACAAGAAAAATTTTGTGGCAGAGGGCTAGCATGGTCCATGGTGACTGCAGATGTGTATTTTATATAAATGGGCAGATGGCTTCATTGTATTGCATGTTTCAGACTTTGATGTTCACATTTGGAAAGCAAACTTCTGAAAAATATAAACTCTATTTGTAAATGAAGTATATTGCTTTTTTCCATGCAAATTTGACAAGATCTATTCTTTTTATTTTGTTTCTTTCACATAAGATCATATAGGAAAAATAGAGCATTGTCACAACCATTTAATGAGACAGAGATAACCAATGCGATGTGTCGCATTACTGAGACATAAATCTCTTGCAGCAAACAAAATATCTTCCTAAAGAATATTCATTGAAAGGTCCGCAATGAAGTACTACATCCGAAACTACACAAATAAAATAAATTTGACTCACCTTAACCCAGTCCAACTGAAAATATTTCTTGGTAACCACTCCCTTTGAATATTTCATGACATCTTTTGGGATGCTATCCTCTGTCATTTTCTTCATCGTATTAATCCCTGTAATAATAATGGGAATTAATAGGATATACCTAGTTAGAATATTGTAACAATTTATACTTTACAATTATCTCATTGTGATGCTTTGGTGGCTCAATAGATAATTTCATTGAAATCAGATAGTGAACTGCACTAAATGAGGAGAAAAGTATTCTGTTGGAAGTAGCATCTAAGCTTACTACTTATAAACAGCCTTCAATTCCATCATAACCAAAAGACACTCTCCATGAGTGCACTAGGCAATGTCACATTCATCTAGAGTTTGGCCCAAAAACACCATGGATTCTTAATCTAATCCTATAGTGTTTCCTTCATAAGGTCCCACATAAGAGGGTCAAAGTTCATCATTTCTCTTCGTTCCTTCATTTAGTTGGTCTCAATATAAGGCAGCAGATATCTTACTGAGAATAATATAACTTAAGCAGAGATTAAATAATAATACTAATGATGAGGTGGGAATGCAGTTTGTTCTTCCTGCAACATGGTCATATGGACGCGAACATGGAATTGCGTTGGATCAATTAGCATCATGGTGGAGCACAAGGCCTGCCAAGCTTGCTGGTCAAGAATTCAAGGTACTAATGTAATGTTTACATACTCCACAGTTTGAACAAGGTTATATACTGTAAGAAGGTACTATTTTAATGTTTCCTCAATACATACCCTGTGGTTTGAATAAGGCTATAAACTGTGAGAAAGTATAATCGTAATGTCTCTTAAGTACATATACTGCACTTTGGAAAGAGACATGTATTTTAAACTCGGATTGTTGCCCATTAAATAACGCAAAAGTATAAATACAGTATCAGTGAAAGTTAACATTCTAAAAAAAATATATTACAGTATCAGTGGCTTCTTTTTCTTATCATCCTCAAATAACACTAGTCGTATTATTCTATGGATAATAAGGAACATCTTCATGATACACCTTTTCCTACTCAATCGTCCACATATAATAAGCGAATTGGTGTAATCAAGTAAAGGTTTATTGATCATGGGAGGTGCTATAAATTGAGTTCATTATGATAACTGATTTATGATTATGTGCTTATCTTGAAACAGGGAGCAATAGCAAAGGGAAATGATGCAGATATTGTTGTATGGGACCCAGACATTGATTTCACACTTGATGAGAACTATAACATTTACCACAAACACCCGGTATGTAGTTCTTATATGATAACCTTTTAAGTAGATTCTTCCCAAACTCTTCCTCCTTAATGATCCTTAGACATTTAGGCTGGGTAAAAGTTTGGCATTTCAGTCCCTCATATTGGTAGAAGAGTTAACCTATCATTAAATTCTCTGTTTTTAAACTGTGTTGATACATAAGCTTTCATTATGACATAAAATCTCCCAATGCTCCAATTAATTCAAATCATGCATTGAGTTCTTCAGGTAACACCTTACATGGGGAAGCAAATGCACGGTAAAGTCTTGGCGACTTTTGTGAGAGGCAATTTAGTTTACCGTGAAGGAGAGCATGCTCCAGCTGCATGTGGTATTCCTATCCTTGCAAAATGAAAATATGCAGGTCTCCAATCAGGTAAAATTCTTGCCTTCTAATATGTAATTCAGAAGTAAAACCCCTCCTCACCAAAAATAACCTCAGAAGTTAAGAAACTAGTTTCAGTTAGAGTGAGTCTTAACATTTTCAAATCGAAAAATCAATTAGCTGTTAGAAATGGGCTTGGATCAAGACGGTAGAGGCTAGGTTTTCATAGCCCAACCCCTCAAGTTCCATTCCTATGTAACCATGTCCAAAAAAAAATCAATTAGCTGTTTGCATGAACTAAGTTTATTTCAGAGACACACTCATCGAATACATTCATAGGGATTTTAAAAATGATATTTTGCCGAGTTTTCAAAAGTTTGCATCCTGAAGTCAATTACTTCTCACATGTAATCATTTTGTCCATCGAATATAAATTGTGGATTAATCAATAAATATGTTCATATAACTTTGGATATGTTGTTCCATATTTGTCACAAACTGAAACCTTGTCTACTGATAATCCAGCATCATATTTCATATATAATATGAGCAATGACGAGCCAAACAAGAAAAAGGTAAATATCAGGACAATTAAGACCAAGATCAGGACAACACCTAGAAATATGTAGGTGGCTCAAAAACGTGAAATATCGCAACCGTATATGAACCTATCGATTTTTTAATGATGACCATTTTACCCTAATCTGAAAGACAGGGGTTGAATAGTCACTTCTAGAAAATTGACATGTCCAAGTACCGCTGGATGCTTCGAGATTCTGAACCAGCTGGACAATTTAAGAGAGTGTTCAAACCTCCAAGTACGGCCCTATCATATTCCCAAATTAAGGGCTGCCAAATCCAAGGTGAAATACCAGAAGAAAACATGCAAAATATCATGAGAGAATAGGACATAAGGAAAATAATATCAACTCTTAACATGCATTATTTGCTAGAATTCTGTAACATATTGCACTTCATGGTTAATACATATTAACCTTATATCATATACAGCTCTAAGATATACTGTGTATGCTGCAAATAGATCATGCATTTCCTCCACTTGTAGTTCTATTGAGAATGAAAATATGCTATGATCTGATGTACTATGGTATGTGACACTAACGCAACATACACTGTCAATTTCCACTGATGTTTGGATGGATATTAACTACAGTGAGGCCAGTAACAACATTTACCTCGGTACAACCAGGTACAGTGAATCACCATCCATCCATCAGCCAGAACTGACAGTATATGTAGCATGGAGTACCTCGAACATATCATAGTTCATTAAACTACAGTGGACTTTCCCTTAAATATATCCCAGTTGGACTCATAGATATGATAAATGTCAGGACCAGGAACCGCAATGAAAGGGGAAGCCAAAGAATTGGGAAGCATAACACAAATGGAGATGACATAGTGAAGCTTGTGACTTGGAAAATCTTCTATATATTTTTTGAAGTCGTGAATTCTCTATCTACCATTCCAGAAACAGTCAAATACTTTGGCTCCTGATGCTTTCTTTGTATATATGTTTTATTGTAATATTCTTATTCTCAAGTATGTAAATGAAATAGGATTGTTTCCAAGTATTACAGAATGTCAGTGATTTAGACAGAGTATTACTGTTCCTTCTCGAAAAATCATAGTGCTATTTTCTTTCCATGAACAGTTAGGTGCACCAGTTATTTCTTCGAAAACATTTTTGAATAAGTTTACACAACATTTTTATTCTGGAAAAAAAAATATGTCAACAATCGAATCTTGGACAACATCATCCTGAGAAAAAATGAAATGTCTAGGACTCTCATTTACATTAAAGCATCCTAAAACAATTCAGCAGGCATTACAAAAGAGCAACTGCACATAAGTAGGTGGCTGAGGACACGATGCATCATGAAACTTGAAGAAAATAACACAGGCATATTACTCCATGGATTATCCAAGAATAAATAAAGTTAAATTAAATATGTTATTTAATATATGCGATAGTACATCCATAATTCATTGGGCTTTCCTGTTCAAATTTAACAACACGTGGGTGCTTTCTCAATATGTTAAGAACAGTCTCCTTGAGTACCCCAGTACCAATTCCATGAACAATGAAGAGAACCCCATAGGAACTGGTTGTTGATAATGCAATGTTGAGATGATGAGAGGCTTCCTCAACTCGAAGGCCACGTAAATCCACAGTGTTCTTTGAAGTCCTCACTGCTGGGCCGAATGGGACCTCCCCATCCTTGTCCGGTTTGGTAGACGATTCTTTCATGTTCTTCCTTATCACCTAGAATGAATTATTGTTTTGATATTAGGCCACTGATTCATAAACAGACTGCTAGTCTGTACGTAAAAAAACTAAATAAGAACAAAAGATAGTTGTCCTTGAATTGGCTTCTTAGTCAAAACCAGGATATCTAATTGATCTTTTAAATATCAGCATAAATAAATTTTTCAAGGATTTTGACAATTATAAAACGAGATTGAAGCATCACGCCTATGATTATTCATCTATACCTAGTCAAAAACCAAGCATAATCTGATTACAGTGAAAGCACATGGTCAATTATGAAACAAAAGAGAAGCATATGAAAGAAGTGGCTATGTAGAATTCCAGGGACTAAAATACAAAATTTTCTTTTTCTCTTTTATTAGTAAATCTAAAATCCACTTACAAGAGCTACTAAACAATACTGTAACAAGAAACACAAACCCTAAATACAACCTAGAATATTTCTTTTACTGCTAAATAAATATGACTCAATACAAGGACCTGAATACAAACTTTAACTATGAAGTCTAACACAATATTCCTGGAAATTAAAATAAATTGAGCAATAATGACTGAAAATAAACGTAGAATAGCTGGGAAGACTTACTTGACTTTGTCTAGGGTCACCTTTTTAGGTCTTGGTACACCCGATTACCTGACCGATGGCTCACCGTGATTCTATTGGCCCTCCTGAATTCTGAGTTGGGAATCTTCCTTGCGCACTACCTTTTCAAATCTAGGGTTTTGAGAGCATAAAACAAAATTATTCTTTAGACCCCTTTTAGACCTACATGGGGCATGCCACAAGTGGCACCGTTCTTGATCAAATTAGAACATAGCATGCCCCTCTCTTATATTTGTGGGGTGGCGTGCCATCCCAAACTTCCTAGGGTGGTGCTTGCCACCACGTAGGGACTAGACTAGAGAAAGAGGGAGAGAAAAAGAGAATGGCATGGAGGAGAGAGGAGAGAGGAGAGAAAGAGATGCTAGATAGCCAGATGGTGAGAATGATAGGGGTACCCTCTATTATAGCCTTCAAGAGCCCATCTAATTTAGAATTCACCTTGGCCATAGGACTTCTAGGTAATCTGTGAGGTAAGAGAAACAAATAGGAGCCATCCACCCCATGAATTACCCATCATGGTTTAGGGAGGATTCCAAGAACCTTGACCCACATCCACTTCTAGTCAACCTAAGATTACGACCAATCAAAACATATTTTCTATTTTGAATAGAATTTCCTTCTCTCACAAAACATTGGAGGAATTCAAAGTCAAAAAGATTTGGTCAGTATTATCTACTTCTGTGTGATGTGTGGACCCTATGGGCCCCACATCCCACAGATGTAGGTGTGATGCACGTGTGGGGCTGGATCCAAGGGCCTCACACGTGTTCCTACTAGCTCCTCCACAATTTCAAAACTTTCTAAAATGCCATTACAAGGGTTTTCACTGCCGGAAAATTATTTTTTAATTTTCCAAAAAATTTCTAAAATTCACATAAAAATTTCTTAAGAGTATGTTTGGCAACCCCATGATATCCTAATATTTTAGGATACTGTAGAATCTTAAATAATTTCGATCTTAGAAGATGTGATAAGTCCCTTTGACCTGTTTGATTGACCAAAATAGCATCCTCTAAAATTAAGACAAGACATACTTATCTAAATGCCTAGGGCTAAGGGTTTTGGACATGACCAATGCCATAGACTACCCAACACTATATAAAATCAACCAACACACACTCCCAATGAAGTGTATAGTCCACTATAATTCTCTATTTATATGCTCCCATGGGCTTTAAAGGCCACAAACCCCAATAGCATAAGGGGTATGATCATTAATATAGGTGAAGAACATTTACTTCTTTCATGCTTCCCTTGCACTCTTCCCCTCCCCACCTCCCTCTTCCTCTCCAAAATAAAGAAACCCAATACAGTGTCGTATTTTAGTTCACTTGTACACCTAAAAGATTTTCATTTCTTAGTGTACAGATGTAAAATAGCATAAACATCTAAAAACATTTGTTGTTCTGTATTTTGTAAAGAAACAGCCTGACAACAATCCAGAAATATCTCAGACGAAGGAGAAAAGAATTATCTATAGAAAAAAAAAGGTGATCGTAATATGGGTACTATATCATCTGCAACTATTCTAATCACCCGGCAAGGGTTAGTTGGCCTTGTACTCACATCTATTTGTGTATAAGGGAGTTAACAACTCATTTCCAGTTAATTATACTCATACTTGGGAAAGATACATTACAATTTGCCGACTCTTGGTTTGCTGTCCACATAATCACTGGATTAGAGTATGCACTCCCATCATACTTTTATCTGAATTATTGTGTTAGTCTTAAAAATATTTAGGAAAAATGGGAGAAAATGAAATGGATTACATAATTATTCAGGCAGTGGTAATATCACTATTAGAGCCCAATACTAAACATACCTGACTTCGTAGACCTGAGGCAGAAGCAGCTTTAGCATTCTGTTTGCTCCCTGAAATCACCTTGATGTCATCTCTCTTAACACGCATCCTCATTTTCCCATATTGGATCAGCATGCTTCCATCATCTAAAGGTGCTTCAACAACAACAGCCAACTTCTCCCCCAACCCCTTTATACGCACATGATCCCCTATTTGAGGAATGTAGGAATTACTATGATCTGGTTCAGTTTCCAACAAAGATTTGTCTCTAGCACAGTGCTTTTCCACAACAGAAGCAATGGCAGCTTCAGACTCCCTGTGAAGTGAATTAAAGCGATCCAAACTTGAGTTACTCAGTTTTTTCTCGACTTCCATGATTATTCCATCCATCTCCAAAGCTGCCATTTTAATTTCATTCTGGACCTTTTTCACTTCCATTGATTTTAATGATGCCTCACGCTTGTCAAGATCTTCAGCCTCTTGGAGGATCTTGCACAGTATAAAGAAGGCAGTGAGAATAATATACAAAAAAACACATGCAGAACTAAGAGAGGAACAAAATAATTTGTGGTACATATAACTTCTTACCTTTTAGGGAGGAAAACATTGGGACCAGAACCAGTAACACCTTAATAGATATGCAGGTGGTCCATAAACTTGAAATGTCAAGACAGCAGTTGAAAGAAACAATGTGCTTCTTAAAATGGCTAATTTATTCCAATCTGCTGTTAAATATATCAGGGCAAAAAAGGACACGACTGAAGGTAAAATAGCCATTTCAAGAAAATGAGAGTCCTCAAATTATTGTGATGTTTCAAGTATATCAACCACATGCATGATCTATGCAGGTGGTCCAGTTATCTCCAGGGTTTTCCCTCTTCTGGGGCAAGTACAGTCCAACTTTTTCTTATGGGTACATAAATTGGGTGTTGATATACCCATTTTATTGTACTAGCCAGCAGCCAACACATAATACCATGAAAATACAAATGTGAAAAGAAACTACAGTACACACTTATGAGTAATTCAAGTAACTTAGAAGAAGATAGACATTACATAGGAATAGATTTCTCCACACTAGTATAATTGTTTTAATAACTTTGTAAAAAAAGAAATGAAATATTCTAATACATGCCCGCACGTGCACACAATGCATGCACACAAGCATGCAGGCCCCACCCACACACACACACACATGTTCATGTACACACACACCCATCCACCCACACATGCACACGCACACGCACACACACACACACACACACACACACACACACACAGAAGGGTACCTCATGATATAGCTTTTTGATTTGTAAACTAAGGAAAGTGGCTTTCCTTGCTTGAGCCTCCAGCCTTTCTCTCTGCTCCATTAGGGATTGGTAAAGCAAACCTTTTCGCTTCCTTTGTTTCTCAGGCATCAGTTTCTCCACCCATGCATGTGCACGGTCCAATACTGCCTGGTCTAGACCTAGAGATTTAGCGATACTTAAAGCATTGGAATTTCCCTTACTGCCCCACATTATGCGATAGGTCGGCTGCAAAGTTTTAAGGTCGAATTCCATAGCAGCATTCTCAAAACGAATATCACCATCTTTCAAAATGCTCAAATCTTCAAAATGGGTAGTCACCACAGTCAAGTTAGTCAAGCCAGCAAGATGTTGTAGAATGCTTGTAGAGAGGACCACGCCTTCTGAGGGGTCAGTCCCATTCCCAATCTCATCGATGAGAACCAAGGATTCATTTGAGGCCACTTCCAATATCTTACAGAGACGTGAAATGTGTCCGCTGAAAGTGGAGAGATTGTGCTCTAGTGACTTCACCCGAAAGAAGTGTTTCAGAAGAGGAGATCAAATAACTGATAACCGAAAGACAGGTTTCAGAAGAAAGGCAAAAGAATTCACAATTATGTGAAAACGAATTCTATATTATCGTTTGCAATATATGGCTATCAATAAATGGGCACAGTATATATATTAACTCGTGAAGTATTCACACATACACACACCCCCACACCCCTACCCGCCCCCACCCCCCACCCCCAAAAAACACACCAAAAACTACCCCTTCTTCCTCCCTCTATGCCCCCCATTCCTGGCTCAAAAAGAAAACAAAAATAAATATATATAGAGATCACATAGGTATCTCTCTTAAGAGTGGATATCAACGTTATAAATTTGCTTTAGAGAATGTATGGCAGGGAAAGAAGCTCTTCTGTTATTCAGCCATCCTTGTGAACAGACTTCAAGGTTCTTTTCAATGTTCAACAATCTGTTATAATGAATCACAACAGGCCAAGCAACTGCCATTACATGAGGTTAACAACCATTATAACATTTATAAAATGGGGAAATCAATAAATATTTACGATTTAACAATTTAAACTATAGTGATAAAGGATGTTATTTCAAAATAATGGATATAACAGCATCATAATGGATAATTGGAATTTATATTTCTATCACTTGAATATTACTTACATTTTCAAAAATTAACTTACATAATAATGGATATAAAACAATATTTTGAAACTCAATCCGGCCAAGGTGCTCATCCCTTGGCTGTGTCCAGTGCCTCCAGCCACGAAATGCGGCCATACAAAGACACCTCGCTATCGGCATTTGCAACTCTAAATGGGGGAAGCTGAATGACAAGGACGAGTCCTGGTGGACTCACCCGAGTCCTGTACGGTGGCGAAAAGCCCTAGAAATTTTTAAAAATTTATAAAAATATAAAAAATATAATGAAGGTAGAAAAAGTAAAATAAAACTAAGAGCAACCTTAAAAAGTCCAAATAAGCTTTAAAAAGTATAAAATAAATGGATCTAGAAAAAGCTGATTTATAAATGGGGAGATTTAAAAAAAATCCAAAAGAAGGGTAACATAAAAATAGGGATTATGGCAAAAAACAGTCCCCAATCATTTCTAGAAACGTCAAAATCATATGAAAAAAAATTATACACCATTCATTTAATTTTTTTGAATTTTTTAAAAAAATTTATGTGCTCCAAGTTGTACACACAACTCGGAGCGATTCGGTTAGTCACAGAACCATGGTCCTTTATTAAGAAATAACATGCATAAAGCATAACAGATTTTATAATGGATGTAATGACTGTTCTTTCTTCTTTATTTTTTTGGGTAAATTAAAATAAGACACCTCTTAGATACACATAACAGCTACATGGTCTGCCCATTGCTGCTACATAACAAAATGGACGGGGACCCTTATTGTCAGCCACATAACTTAAATTTTCATGGTTTTTCATTCCCAGTTCTTTCCAATCAACAAAGTTAAGAAAAGGAACTACAACTCGGAGCGATTCAGCCAGTCACAGAACCATGTTCCTTTATTAAGAAATAACATGCATAAAGCATAATAGATTTTATAATGGATGTAATGCCTGTTCTTTCTTCTTTATTTTTTTGGGTAAATTAAAATAAGACACCTCTTGGATACACATAACAGCTACATGGTCTGCCCATTGCTGCTACATAACAAAATGGATGGGGGCCCTTATTGTCAGCCACATAACTTCAATTTTCATGGTTTTTCATTCCCAGTTCTTTCCAATGAACAAAGTTAGGAAAAAGAACTAAAAAAAAGCGTTTTAAGACTAATTAGAAAATAATAAAGTTTTTTGTTAATGACAACAGAGACAAAAAATTGATCTCAAGTCCAGTTCTTCATTATGTTGATGGTTGACCCAATGCCACCACCAAATGTCCCCGATAGAGATAATTATTTTGATATTTTGGTCAAAATATAAAATTTTTAGAGCTCAATTTTTGTTGATAAATTTAGAAGTCTTAACATGGAAGTTAAAACAGATGAGAGAAAACATTGTTTTGCTTGAGAAAGAGGTTTGCATCCCTTTTAACCACACCCACTAAATGGTAAGTTAACAAATATAAGGCAAACATTAGCAATCAAGTGTATCCGCCAAATTAAAAAGGTTACAAGAATCAATAGTGATCTATTAGGCTAAACAAGTTGGGCTTTTCGGTCAAAGAGGCCAAGAAGAGCTGGAGAGATTCAAGGGCATATTGGCTTCAGCCTAGACGTTGAAGTTTAAGTTTTTTATTTCTTCAATCCAAACAAAATGAATATCATACCATCTGTATAGACTCTCCTAGAGGAAATATGGGCTCTTTTTATTTCTGTCAAATTGATAATAAGGTAGAGTTCTAGTTACTTCACCCTAAGTAAGATGATAAAAAAATGTGAGAATTTGGCTGGTTCCCTTCACAATCACCGGAGATATCAATTCCGCGTAATTATTCAATAAACTAAGAATACACAATTGTAAAAGAATCCCTCATCAAAATATCAGACGTTTACAGAAAAAAACAAGTTTTGTATTGATTGTTTCAAAAACTTATTAGTTTTCTTGTATTTTCATCAGTTGTGCTTTAATTAATAGCTTACACAGGCATTTGTATTCAAACAAAAGCATAAGATTATTCTTTTTCTAGAAAAAAAGCAGGGAAATGCAGAAAAAAGGAAAGATCACGTGAGATGGAGAAACATATCTTTCTTAATCACATGATTTTTCATCATCCAAAAAGAAAAGTAGATAAAAGTAACTAAGTTTCTTGCACTACCTGATGATCACCAATGTCTGCCAAAACACAATCGAACCATGGAAGCTTTGCCCTATTTTTGGCAGGCAAGAACATACCAGCCTTTGACATCAAAGAAGCCAATCCCAAAGTCTTCATGGTTGCAGTTTTCCCTCCAGTATTTGGCCCCGATATCACCACCACCCTTGTTCTCTTCTTGACCTTTATATCTACTGGCACTACCTCGAATTCTTCATTGTTATCTTTAGACTTGAGAAGCAAGGGGTGCCTGATACCTTCTATATCCACAGCTAAATCCCTTTCTTCAGGTGTATTGGCAGTCAAATTCTGCTTTTTAAAGGTTTCTATTCCTTCATTCCCATGAACTCTGATAAACTTGGGGAGATTTCTGCTAAAAATGGGGCGAACCCCATTTAGAGACCGAGCATAAGAACCTCTAGCTGAGGCTAGATCCAGTTCCATTATCCTGTCCATCAAAATTCCAATTCTAGATTTAGCAGCTGCTATCTCAGAGGTAAGGATACCCAATATAGAGAGCTCTTCAGCTTTCTCGGAACCAGAGAGACTAACCTCCATGTTATTGAGCTCAATTGCTTCTTTTGGTTCCACAAAATAAGTAGCACCAGAGCCACTGGTATCAAGAATTATGGCCCCAGGCAACAAAGACCTATGTGTTGCCCTAATGCCAACGCACATTCTAGCTCGACGCCTGGTTACTAATGGTGTATCGATGCCTCCTGCCTGAGAAACCCTGATTGAGATTTGTTTCAATAGATTTTCCAGGTTTTCCATGTTCTTCTTCCTCGCGAACCTAATTTTCTCTAAATTAGTGCTAGCTCTATCCAGAATTACAGAGAGGTTACACTCCAAGCAAAACCCAATTTTTCCCTCGATTCCGGGTAGAAAATCAGTTCCATGGAGGATATCAAGCAAAGGTGAGTACCTTTTCAAAGACCCATCTGATGAAATTTCCATTAACTGATTCAAGACCCTCTTCGCAGATCGAAGAGTTTGGCTCACTGTGCATAACTCTTGAATTGTGCATAACTTTCCTGAAATGGAAGTGTTCAGAATCTCAGTTAGGTCTTGAATGTTAGAGAAGTCTAGTGGATTTGGAAGCTCAACTGATGCAGACGTTTGATCCAAGAGCTTCTCACTCTCTTCCTGGTTTTGCCCTGAAGGGACGTTACCATTTATTGAAAGGTTCATAGCCATGGTTGTGGAGGTGAAAGCTGAGAGCTGTAAGCAAACGGATTTCCATTCTAGGGCTCTTAGTGTTTCAGATTGGAGATCCACTGGAACCCCAGTCGCATTAGGGTTTAATGGAGGGTTGGATGCTCTTATGGTTTTGAGGAGAAGTGGATTGCAGAGGGAGAAACTATGAAATACAGGCGTTTTTACAGGGAAAGTTATGGTATTATAGAAGGCGTTATGGAGGTGAGAGACATCCATTAATTTAGGGTTCTAACAAAGACTGGGCCGTAGATAGAGAGACTGTGAAATACAGGGGTTTTTACAGGGAAAATCAAGGTCTTGTACTGGGTGTTATGGAGGTGAGAGACATCCATTAATTTAGGGTTTTGAAGAGTCGATTGCAGATGGAGAAACTCTCGAGTACAGGTTTTTTGCAGAGAAAATTAGGGCCTTGTCAGAGTTAACATTATCAAAAAAGAAAATTACGGCCTTGTAGAAGGTGTTATTGAGAGAGACAACCATTAACTAAGGGTTTTCAGAAATAATGGATTGTAGAGAGAGGAACTGTCAAGTGCAGGGCTTTTTAAAGGGGAAAATTAGGGTTTTCGTGAAGGTATTGCAGAAGTGATAGACCTCCGTTGATGAAGGAGAAGCTGTGTAGTTGAGGTTAGAGAGAGAAGATAGCAGGGCGTTTTACTGCGATTACAAGTGCACTCATTTTTGGAGGGAAATAACGATAAGATTTCAGAGAACCATGATCCATTGAAAAGCAATCGTGGGCCCACCGGATCAAAATGTATATTATAGACCAGAGAGCATAATTATCTATGGGTGCATTTTGGTTGTTTCCCTACATTATAGACCAGAGAGCATAAAAATATGGATTGTCTACAAAGAAACCATCTTTTTGGTTTGGGTTCAGACCATGTGGGTTGCGTCTGGGCCCTAATGACTTGGAGCCGACCTAGATCGGATCTGAGTCTGGCATGAACCCTATAGGGTATACACACATACTAAATAATATATTAAATAATTTTTTATTTTTTATTTTTAGACCTCAGTCTGCCTTCAAATGACTTGGCCGCCACCTGGTCTCGGTTTGTTTCTGAACCAAGCCACTTTGACCTGACCGAAGACTAGGTAAAACCTAGTCGAGTCGGGGGCCGACCCGAACTAGACCCATTGCCAAGGTGCTTCCACAACCCCAGTGGAACCCACCACTTCCACTTTCTAACATTGTTTTGGAAGCGGCGTGAAACTGCAACTACCAAAAATCGTATAACACTTTGAGGAAGATGCTTAAAAAAAACGTCCATAACGTAGAGGAAGGTGCGTAGTGTGCTAGGGGTCGCAACGGGTCGGGACCCTTCACGTATACAAAAGAGAAATGGACATTATCATAGAAAGCCAGATTTGGAGATCACCAGTAGGGATTACAATCCATTACAGCTTCAACCAGCCTCATATTGAACAATTCGACAGGTGTGTTTCTTGTACTAAACACGATAACCACATTCTCTGCATTGAATCACATCCCCAGGCTTCAACGTATTCTCAACTGCACAATCTCCCCAGATGTAGCTTACTGGTTCAGTATGAGGAGGATCCATGGGAGCTTCTAATTGCTGGGTAGCAAAATCTCGCTCTAAGGAGAGGATATTTTTGGTGCTTGGACATATAGGGCCTCTGTTAATTGGTGTCTTTGAGAAGAGGGAACTCTATAGCTAGCTGATAAGTTTTACAAAGCCAGTTGATTTGAAGAAGGTTTGGAGAGCTAGGGTCAGGGTTCAGAGAGATGGGAGGGTGAGACTTGAGTTTTAACGAGGTCGTTTAAAGAAGAAAAGCCCAAAAGGGATATGGGTTCGTGGGAAAAAGGGAGTACATCATCTTCGACTTGAAAAACTGATAATTAAATCCCGCAAACTTCAAGTATTACTTGAATTATGTGGAATTTAGATAAGTATGCTTTATCTTAATATTAGAAAATGTTATTTTGGTCAATCAAACGAGTCGATAGTGCTTACCATATTTTTAAGATCGAAATCATTTAAGATGCTACGATATTCTAAAATATTAGGATATCATGGTTCGCCAAACATTCCCTAAAACAAGTTTAGATATCGATATAATTGCATTGAAATGGAGCTGCTCTTTTTCCCTCTGTCATCGTTAACTACCACAAAAAGTAGCATTTAAAACTTAAACAAACATTTAACGTTTTCAAGTAAGAGGTAGCTGGAATTGGCAGACTGGGTATGAATTTCTCAACCGAACCATTTAAAACTTAAACAAATATTTAACGTTTTCAAGTAAGAGGAAGCTGGAATTGGCAGACTGGGCATGAATTTCTCAACCGAACCACGTGAAGATGCAAATTCTCATGATACATGTGTGAGCACGGGAGTACCCTCCCTTCTCCATTGCAAGCACTGATATTGCACATGCACACAGTGCAAAGAACCTCTTCTTCCGTCCCGATATCAGTCATTGCTATGCTTCAATGGCTATAAGAAGCTCGGTTTCCATTTGTCGAAACTCACCTTCAAAAATGTAACACGAAGTGACTTCTATGAATTGTCGAAACTCGAGCTCTATTACCGTTTCGTCCATCTCATCTTCGAGAATTTCCTTCTCTTCTTGGCAGCCTTATATTTGGTTTCAACTTCAGGATTTTCCTCCTCTTCTTGGGGGTCTCATATTCGGTTTTAGCATTGGGAATTTTTTCATCTTTTGGAAATCCTCATATTCGGTTTCGAGATTGGAGTGGTTACCTTCTGCAATTTCTCTCTCTTGAAAGAATCGCAACTATACCTGCATGTTGGGCTTGTCAAGGAAGCGCGTCTTGACACGAGCTATTTCCCAACTGAGGTCACGAACGATCTGCGAATGCATCTCATCCATCGATACATGCAAAACGTTGAGGTCTGCTCTTTCTTGAGTTTGCAGGTCTAGGGTGATGGAGGTTGTTGTCTCAAATGCAATGAACTCAACTGAATTCGCAAAGTCGACATTAATGTCGTTGAATGTCGTTGAATGTCGTCATCTTTCTGACAAAAACTTTGATTGCCACATTGCGACAGTACTACACAACCAAAACTTTCCACACCTTGCTTGAAAAACTGTAACCAATGTTGTTGTCGGATTCCATCACAAGAGTTTAAAGAACCTGCAGTTATTTGTGTGTTAATGCATTGCCTCAAAACTTAAAAAGGGCAAAAAAAACTTGATCTGGAATTAACTTTATATTGTAGCAATATGGTGTACCTCTCCATATAAAATATTGTGTTAGCACCTTCGACCTCGAGATATATGTATTTGGAAGAAAAAATATTTTCAACCAAAAAATAATGTATCTTGTAACTCATTATCTGAATTGTTTATTATCCTATTTTCCCATATATCTACCGTTATATAATCGTCATTATAAAATAAAGTGGTATTTGTTTTTTGTATGGTCTTCTTTTTTACGCCACAAGCCATCCTAACATAACATCAGAGTTAGGTGGGTGTTAGTGTTATAACACCCATTATTTATTTTATAAAAATTATATTTTAAACCATAGTACATACCAAGGTTTTAAAAGCCGACCATGCAGATCATGAATCAGTTATTTTGATTGGATTTGGTCGGTGGGTGATCTAATTCTCTCCACTAATCACAACATATATATTAAAGCCATATATTTATATAAACACGACGCTCTAAATAATCAAATTAAGTCGCACCTCAAAAATTCATTAAAAAAGTTGTTTCGATATTGAAAAGCCCTCAACTCGATCATCTCAACCGTATGGACATAAGAAATTTTTTTTTTTAAATGTTCAAAATAGTGCATCTTGTAATGTGTTATCTAGATTGTCAAATTTCAAGTGTTGATAGATCTATTTGATCTACATTGTTTTTTAACTTTAAAATTTATTATTAAAAAAATAAATAAAATTTCAGGCCATCATAAAGATTTCTAATATTAAAACAACATATTTATATACTATTTAAAGGTGCACCCTATTTTGATTGTTTAGAGCCTCGGCCTTATACAAACCTCACCCTTATTCAAATTCAATATTGCTCAAATCTAGCTCTAGGTTTTAAATCACTACTATGTATGTATTATTTATCTAGGAATGCTTATACTCAATAATTCGAAATAAAATATTCTCTCTCCTCTCTCTCTCTAGAAGGGATATTCCCTCTCTCAATACTTCAAAATATACGTTATGCAGAAAAGGCAGTTAATACTGATAATGAATGTGCCGTTTGTATAAAGTCGATGCTCTAAACAATTAAAGTAAAACACACTTTCAAATAATGTTGAGAATTGTGGTTTCAATACTTAAAATCTTTATGATAGCCAATAAAATATAATTTTATTTTTAATTATAAAATTGAAAGTTTAAAAAATAGTGAAAATCGTGCAAATCCATGGAAAATTTAAAATCTTGAAATTGACAGTTAAAAAATGTGTTACAAGATGCACTATTTTCATTTTTTTTTTTTTCTCTTGTTCATACATCTTGAGGTCAAAATGGTCGAATTTGAGGATATTTGAGCATCAAAACAACTTCTGCTAGTGAAATTTTTGAGGTGCGCCCTAATTTGATTGTTTAGAGCATTGCACTTGTAAAAACTTTTTTTATCATGTATTATTTGGCAATGTCCATATTGTACATTGCCAAATAATCATCCGATTCATATTGTACACAATGACACCCTCAAAAATTTATAAAACTTGCTCTCTCTTTTATAACTTTAGAGCGAGAGAGTATTGTCCTCATATTGCTCGAGTTTGGAAATAGCCAATTCTCCACAAAGTTCATAACTATAGAAAGAGAGTATTGTCCTCATATTGCTCAAGTTTGGAAATGACCGATTCTCCCATAAAGTTCAAGTTATTATTTGGTTGGTTGCTCTGAATAAGGTTTTAATCATTGACAATTTGATCAAAAGGGAAAAAGTTTTACCAAATGTGTGTTTGTTGTACAAATCTAAAAGGTAGATGTCATGGTTAACCTCAATAGTCTTTTCCTTATTATTTGTTTTAGCGATAGACAGAAAAGTATTTGGATTGTGCGCCTTCTGCTGAAAGTTTGAAGCTCAATTTTGATGGTAGCTCTTTTGGTGATCCTGATTTAGCGGGAATTGCTGAAGTGTTGCATGATTGTTGTGGTAACATTCCGGCATGATAGGCAACCCAACCAATAACTGTGCCGGGCTTAATGCTCTACTAAGTGGGTTTAAGATCTTCATTGATATGAATCTTGGTAATAGTTGCACGATTGAATGGGATTCTTTGAAGGAAAAAGTTTATATAAAGATGCTACCTTATAATGGAGAACTACAAATGCCTCTCAAAAATCCACTGGAAATGTAGTTTTAATGTTGAAAACTCATTGATTGATCATCTCGACATCGAGATGTATGACTATGAAAAAAAAAAAAGATTTTAAGTCTCAGAAATAGTGCATTTTACAACATATTATCTACACCGTCCATTTTCAAGGTTTTTAAATGCTTATAGATGTACTTATTTTAACCATTTTTTAAATTTAAAATTTTATTATTAGATATAAAAATAGATTTTGAGATAATCATAAGAACATTTTACATCAAAATTATATACCATGATAAAATTTGAAGGCATATCTTACCTCTACAACTACGGATGCATCCGTATGCAAACCGCACCCTTATCTGTATACAATTAGATGGTGTAATGCAATTAGATGGTGTAATAAAAAGCAGCGACTTACTTGCTAACTTCGGTCTTTATAGTTGGAGATTATGGATTTGGTAGCTTCCTTGTTTATCTCTTTAACCGATGCTTTAGTTAAGGGTGGTGCTTATTTGCCTCTTTTGTTATCTCTAATGATGTAATTTTCTTTCAGTGATCAATAAAAAAGGATGTGGTTTCTATAAAGTTGTAACCTTAAACAATCCAATTAAGGTGGACTTTAAATTTTTATCATAACATGTAAATTTATTGTTAAAAAATTATTAGTATTATTTTAAAATCTATTTTCAAACATAATTAGAAAATTTTAAATTTCAAAAATAGTTAAAATCAAGTAGATCTATAAATATATGAAAATCTTGAAAATGGACTGTCTATATAATGTGTTGTAAGCTGCACCATTTTCGAGATTCAAATTTTTTTTTTTTCATATTAATAGATCTCGATGTCGAGATGATTGATTAAGGGCTTTTTCAATATTAAAACAATATTTTCAATAGATTTTTGAGGTGGATCTGATTCTACATTTTAAGATTGCAATATTATATAAACTTTTAAAAAGATGTAATTTTTTATTTTATTTTTAAAAGTGATCAATAAAAGTAGAAATATTTATCGAAAAAAAAAAAACTTTAGAGAGAGAGTGAGCTAGTTATAAATTTTTGTTGGAGATAGAAAGAGCGAGGGGAGGCGACATTTGGACAGCTTCTTGAGGGGAAAGGAGAGAGAACAGAGACCGAGAACGGACAATTTTTTATTATTTACATTTCACAGATTTAGAGAGAGAGTATTACTCACAATTCACAGATTTAGAGAGAGAAAGGGCGCGGAATGAGCGCACAGATACGTATACTTTAGAGAGAGAGAGGGGCGCCTGGAAAGTGAGAGAGAGAGAGAGAGAGAGAGAGAGAGAGAGAGAGAGATAGTTAAGAGAGAGAGAGGGGCACCTGGAAAGTAAGATTCGTAGGTGTAATTTTTCAAATGACCACCAGTGGAGAGGAGAGAGAATAAGCTCGGTCTTTAGAGAGAGAGTCAACTGGTTCTCAAGAGAGAGGAAGGTGTGTCTTTAGGAAGAGAGAGAGAGAGCTTGGTACAAATGGAGAAGACCGAATAAACTGGGTAGTTAGAGAGGAGAGAGAGAGAGTAAACCTGCGTTTTGGTTTTTAGAGATAGAAAATAAACTGAGGCTTCGGGCGATCCAGATACGAGTATAAAGGCAAATGCAGACAACTGCAACTGTGGAAAGTGGAAACAAACTGGAGCTTCTAGGTTGAAAATGACAACGAAAATGGCGGATTTGGACTGCTGAATTTTGGATCTCTATCCGGTTTCATGCTCAACATTTTTACGGAAGCGCGATTAAAGAAGGTAGGAATCTCCATGAGTGTGGAGTACAAACCAGCATTCAGTATAGATCGGTGAGAAATGGTCTCCTTTTCAGCTCCATAGAAGTTCCATGGCTTCTATGAGAACTCATGGTTTTGAAAGGTGAGCATTGACCACAGCTTATTTTTCACTCACTAGAGAAATGTGGTGTTTCTCTCTCTAGAAAACAAGGGCTGTGCTCTGATGAATTTCGCCATGCCTTCTGTTTAATCGACAGAAAAACGACCTTGGGATCCTCCGTTTTATTAGAATGCACGGTCTCGATGTCTGGTCTCATCTGCTATAGATATTGTTGGTTAAACTCTGATGAATTTGTCCGAGTTAAGAAATATTAGCAACAAAATGTTTTTGGGTTCTCACTTTTTCTGATTATTATTAAGAAAACGAAGGCGAGATAATCAAATTTGAAGCTGGGAAAATTTACTGCAAATTCAAGATTTTGCTCTTGTCAAGTCTCAGCAGTTTACTGATAAATTTTGAACATTATAGTGATGAAAGGGTCAGGAATTTTGAAGTTTATGCTGAAATTCAAGTGGAGTTAGCCGAAGTTGTTATTATTTAGGGGCGTAGAATTAGCAAGTAAGGTTGCAGCTTTTTGTTGTTTGGTTAAAAGATTGCTGCTCATGAATATTTGTATATTTATCTGGAATTAGTGCTAGAGTTAGCTGGTATAGTCATAGGCATAGCCATGAATCTGCAGAAAATGGGGTTTAAGTATTTCTGAATATATAGCCAGTGACAATGTCGGGAATGGATTCAGATGAAGTTAGGTCACTGGGATTGACCCCAACATGGTCAGTTGCCGCTGTTTTGACAGTCTTTGTTGCAGTTTCCCTTGTTGTCGAGCGCTTAATTCACCGTCTAAGCTCTGTAAGTACAATTCTATTCACTTTTCTATGCTTTTCCTATCCTAAATGGTACTGGCATTTCACCTGAAAACCAAGGGTTTGACACAAAGAGCTATGTCTCTCTTGGTTACTAGGAAGAATTTGTAGATTTTTTTTTCTTTAATTTCAAATTGTTTTTTCCTTTTTTCTTTCTTCTCTTTATGTATTATGACCTATTTTATAGGTTTTGAAGGGTGAGTTATTTCGAATATGAATATGGAGTGTGGTTCTTGTTTCCTGATTTCTTATTGAAATTTACTTTTGCAGTGGTTGAAGAAAACCAATAGAAATCCATTGTTTGAAGCGTTGGAGAAAATGAAAGAAGGTACCTGTAGTATTCCATTCTCTTTTGCGAGTCTGACTCCTAAGATTTTTCAGTTTTCTCTATTTTTACTTTATTGAGAAAAGGATTTACTGTAAGCTTTGGAAAATTAGGAACAAAGTTTCCGATTTCTCATAGTTGGTAGTCTCATCCATTTCTTACTTTATCCTTTTTCTCATCTTCTGTGTTTGTTCATTGCAGAACTGATGTTGCTGGGTTTTGTATCCCTTCTTCTTACTGCCACATCAAGCTTAATTTCCAACATTTGTATCGAATCAAAATTCTATAATGGCAGATTTGCTCCTTGTACCAGGTCTGAGATTGATGATGGTGCCTCTGCTAAAAATAGTACACTTCAAGAGCGGAGATTGATGGGCTACCTTCTCAATCACGCATCTAGGAGGACATTGGGTGCCATAAATCATAACACATGCAAGGAGGTAACTAATAGAATCATTCAAATGAATGTGCACTGTTTTCAAGTGTATAAAATCCTTGTAGTTTTTATTGCCTGGGAACTGAGGCCATCCTTTTTTGTTTGGTTTTGGCCTTTTGGAATGTCTAGATGAAAGTCATGTTTTCAGTTATAGTTATCAAAATGTTTTGGCCTCTATTGCTTTCATCTAGAGTTTGAAATAGAAATTGCACGCATGTTAAATCTCAAACTGTTGTGCAGGGTCATGAGCCGTTTGTCTCATTTGAAGGTTTGGAGCAGCTTCATCGCTTCATTTTTATCATGGCAATAACTCATGTATTCTATAGTTGCTTAACCATGCTTCTGGCTGTTGTAAAGGTTAGCAAATCCACTTCATTGATGCCTTCTAGATTATTGATATATAAGTCTTTGAATGCCTTGCATGCATGGATCAGGTTGACAGTTTTTGGGAAGTATTTACTTATTTATGTTAGGGGCCATTCTAGGTCTGTAGTTTGATTCCGTCATAGTAGAGGATATCATAAGCAACTGAAACATGTTCTAATCTGGCAGATGGCTGTGTTAGTGGGAGTTGTCATGATTATGTCTTTGTACTCACCAAGGGTTTATCATATCGAGAGCCTTAAAGACTCCAATTTACTCTGATAAATTGGAAATCTCACATTATCTTTAAGGTCTTCCATATTTATCCCAACAAAAGACGTTCATGAGAAAGATGCCTTTAGACTTGAAAAAAAATATCTGGTTGTTTTATTATTTGTGCAGTGGTTATTTGTGGTTTCTAGTAGACCCATGACTTGTACAAAAAACGGGAAGTGGATAAGTTATCTAAAAAAGGGGCCACATAATGGGTGAGACAATAAAATAAATTCCATCATGTCAGTTATAAAGTAGAATTTGATCATTTAGAAGATCTTTAGCATGCCTTAAACCACTGATTTTTTGTAATTGCCCAAATAATTCATTTCTTGAATCTCTTCTGCTTAGGTGTTGTAATTCTATTTTTCCTGGGACATTCTCAGTGTTGTTAACTAGAAACTTAAACCTAAATCTTTTCTTTGAACTTAGATCTCGCCTTTTACTCTGGATCTGTAAGAACATAGATGCCTTGTTCTATACATATTGTACTACTTTTGCCAGATCCATACTTGGAGGAAGTGGGAAGATGAGGCTCAAATGGCCCATCATGATTCATTAACAGGTAAAGGTTTTTTTTTCCAATTTGATTCAATTTGGATGCTAAACATTTCTAAATCATGCTGTTTGATGACCATGCTTCATATTTGGCTATGTATTATGTTGTTTCGTTATCATGTCATTCGTTTTTGTTTCTCATTCTGTTACTTTGTTTTCCTTTTCTTGTCTTCCTTCCTATCTTTCTTTTGTTGTGGGGGACTGATTAAAATTTTAATTTGTCATGATTAAATATAGTGCTGTCTTAATTGATTACTTCAATCTTTCATTCATATTATCTAACACAAATCTTGCTTATAGAAATCACTAGAGCATTGACAATGCGAAGGCAATCAACATTTGTAAAATTTCGCACATCAAGTTCTTGGAGCCAAAATAGATTTATTATATGGGTGGTACGTATGGTATTTTATTTATTTATCAAGAGAGACATTTATGTAGGACTTGATTCAGTTCATGAGAGAGGCATGCAATTTGGATGTCTCTGTAGCATTCTCATAATTTTATATTATTTTGTTGTTGTATTGGCATTTGATGTAGTTTAAACTTCTAGTACTTGTCCCCAAGTAAATAATGGCTTTCGTTTACCATTTAGATTGTGGTGTGATATTTTTGTTCCTTAAAGTGATACATATGCAGATTTTGTAACATTATAGCATTTTTTTCAAGCATGTTATATTGGAAATGTGTCTCCTAATTTGAGAGGCTTTTTCAGACTTGCTTTTTCCGGCAGTTTGGTCATTCTGTGGTTCGGGCCGACTACCTCACACTTCGCATGGGCTTCATCTCGGTATGTCATAGAGATTTGGATTTCATACAGTCTTTGATAGCAGACTTGGAACTAAAGAAAATAGAGGAGAGAGAGAGAGAGAGAGAGAGAGAGAGATGGGAAGTTTAACCATAGATCTTAGGCAAGGATAAATATCATTCATTGGATGTGAAACCTGCCTTAGTTGTCATCAAGGCAATGGTATAAGTACCAAGCCCTATAAATAGGGGCTAGTTACCCCATTGTGAAATACACGAGCAAATATAAGAGCTTCCCTACCTAATCTTAGTTATACGGCCTTTTTTCTCTATCTATATCCTTGTCTCTCTACCTGCTTTCTAATTTAACAACCTAGAGGGAGAAAGAGAGAGAGAGAGTGTGTGTGTGTGTATGTGTGTGTGTGAGAGAGAGAGAGAGAGAGAGAGAGAGAGAGAGAATAACAAACAAACCAATGGACAATTTCTAATTTAAAAAATAAAGCAAGCTTGGTGATTCTACTACCATTTCCACAAGTTGCATGGTCATGTATGCACGCATACATCTTAGCAAATGACATAAGTTGTTCGACACGGCTGGGATGAGCCTTGACAGAAGGGTATTTCTTTTTACCTCTGTCTTAGTGATGAAAGTTTTTTTTAATGATAAAAAACGGAAAAAAATGTATGAGATGTTTTTATTATGTGCACATTGTTCATTGTCCTTCTTACAACTTGGCATATTCATATGTGAGATCTTAGTTCCATTATGTGCAGTTTTTCAGCCTTTATTTACCAAGAATATTTGCTATATACCTATAGGTCTGGCTCCATCCCAAGTGGCATCTGATATTAATTTAGCAACTGGAGTCCTTACTTTTCACTTGTCCTTTCTTCATAGCACAGGAGAAAGTGGTTGATTCTAGGCCCTGAGTCTCTAAATTTCCTTCACAGTAGAAAAAATAACAATAAATAGTGGGCTTCATGCTGCTGTTAGTCTGTCCCTCTTTTCCTTTCAAAGTTCAAAGAGAAGTCGCACAGAATCCTGTTTCTTTCCATGAAAGTTGGAGTCCTAAGTGATGGTTTATTCTTCCAGGATAAAGAAAATGGAATACAAATGGTTGGTTTTTTTTTTTTTCTTAAAGTGTCATTTTAAAGTCTGAAATAACCTAAAATGGGCCATAAACGTGACTAAGGGATCAGTTTATATTCTTAGTTATAGAAATTGTGCTTCATGTAAGAGAAAGTAGGGTCTTAGTTTGCATGATATCATTGCTTGGAAAGCGTATCTTGTTTTTTGATACTTATCATCTTCTTTATAATGCATTATCCAAAATGGTGGTTGTTAGGTTGTTTATTATCATAAATCAGCTCATATAAATTGATCAATTGGCTTGTTCTTTGCAATCTGTTTCATGTAGAAGTGTTTGTGAGTGCTCATTGTCTTCCATTCCACCATTTTCTTGACTTGTGATTGCAGAATCACAAACTCATGGCAAATTATGATTTTCATAGCTATATGATTCGTTCCATGGAAGAAGAATTTCAAGTAATAGTTGGTGTTAGGTAAGCCATACACTAGTAAGAAAGGCCTCAATACAGTGCAGCAGTGGTTTTATTTTTTGTTTCTGCTAGAAAGTTTATGGTCAAGCGATAAAATAAAAATTTGTTTATTTGAAATGAAACATTAAGAATTGCTTTCATAAATGAAGACTAAGAATTTGGTTTGGGAATAAATTAAAACATTAAGCATAAAAAATATTGAATCCATATATTGTTAGGAGTTAGAACCAAAGTGGAGCCTAAACTGAACGCATGCATGGGTCGTGAAAAGTCGTGAGTAATCATGATCGAAGCTTTATTTTTTTACTTAATGCATAGCGAAGAAGCTTTCTTGTTTTTTTTTCTTTTATTGGCTCATCATTGAAGTGGTTATAACTTATAAGGTGCAGATATTTTAAGCAGTTTTTAAATTTCTAAGGATCCGGATAGAAATTTTCTTTTTGTAGCATCTCACAATAAATTATATGTATATCAGAAATCTTCCTATTTCCTTCTCATCTTGCATATGTTTGTCCTATGCCTTTGGGGCAGAACCCTATATTTAAGCCTCAGATTCACAGTCTACTAGCTCGCAGAAATTTAAGTGGCCGCAATTGTCTCTTCATCTCTTGTCAAGAATATTACTCGAACCTAGAAAGTGGTGCGAGTTTCTGTGCATAATTCTGAACTTTACAGAAGTTGTCTTGTAAGTGTTGCCTTCCTGATGTTGGCTACGTTGGGCACTTGCGTTTCAAGAAGCCATCTTATGTTTTTGATCCTGCCACTATAAGCGTGGGTGACAATACTAGACCCATTTTTATTTGGCTATGCAGTGTTTTTTTACTGATATTGCGTGGATACTTAAAACATGGGTAGCCAAACTAAGCCCCCTTCGTGAGACTTTCAGGTTGAACATCCCATATGCATCATTAAAACTCCTGTCATCTTTGTTCTTATTAAACCTTTTCTGTAGTCAAAGAAAGTGTTTCAGGCTCCCTTTCTTCTGTCTTGGTTCTTTCCCATCCCTTTTTATCAGTGTTTTAGACTTGGACTCAGACCTGAAATGGGATATGGCCTGGTTCTGAGTCAGCAAGTCTGACTCCTGGAAACCTTGGAAACAGGTGAGACTCTGTCAGTTTCTAAGGTTTTTCACTATGAGCCAGCATCCTGCTGGGTCCAATTGACTTGGCTGAGTCTGTGTCGGACTCAGCGAGTTTTAAAACACTGAATTTTATTCTATTTATTCCTATTTTTCGTCTTATGGATACACATAATGAGACATGAAAAAAAAAAAAAGACATCAAAAACTGTTTCTGGTTTTTCATTGTGATTCACTACTAAGATTGTAGTAGGAAAATATCAATTTCATGTTAGGAATGCCTGCTAATGTAGCACTTCAAATTAATGATGTCCTTTTTTAATGTCTTGCAGTGCGCCTCTATGGGGATTTGTTGTTGCTTTTTTGTTATTTAACATAAATGGTAAGCTGGGCTCTGTTCTAATTTTCACCTTTTCTATTTTAGACATATCATATATATGAAGTTGTTCATAAGTTGAACTGTTTCCCATTATTTCATAAACTTTCAGTCATCATTCAGCCTCAGCTGTAATCAACTACAAATGTTACATCTAACTCTAAATAACTAAGAATGGTTTTCTTTTTCTTTTTTTCTTTCTGACCAGTACAAATGGTACACAGCACTGACAAGATATCAAACAATGATTTGCTCACTGTTTGCTTGCAGGCTCTAATCTTTACTTTTGGATAGCCATCATCCCAATTACTGTAAGTTTGTTACACTAGATTAGTTTGGAGAGTATACTCTTATTACGTGATATTGAGTTGATAATTGGCATGAGATTGAGTTCAAATTGGTGTATCATTTATACAGCTAGTTCTGTTGGTAGGAGCAAAGTTACAGCATGTCATTGCAACCCTAGCCCTAGAAAATGCAGGTATAACGGGTTCCTTTAGAGCAACAAATCTGAGGCCTCGGGATGATCTTTTCTGGTTTAGGAAACCTGAATTCCTCCTTTCTTTCATTCATTTTGTTCTTTTTCAGGTAGGTTGGCTCCATATGGAGGTTTTTGAAACTTATATCCATCTGTTTGAGAATATCCACAATCTAACCATATGCTGCTTAAATAATTTTTCTTGGATTTTTTATGGTTTTGCAGAATGCTTTCGAGTTGGCTTCCTTTTTCTGGTTTTGGGTATGTATGTTGACGCAGCCTGCTTCTATTCCCTTATTGGTCAATGGCATTTTGTAGCCTATTTGTTATTGCAGTTCACTAAGTTGATTTTTGTAAGAAAAGAAAATCTTAATAAAATTGGACTGGAAGGTGGTTGTCCAGTTTAGTCTGTCTGGTTAAAGTTTTTCTCATCTTTGGGCTCTGATTATACGAACTCATTAAAATCAGCTGGTTCGACCTGAACTCGATTGATTGCAATCCAGTCCGGAATAAACCAGCTGGTTCGATCTAGTGAGATTGCTTTTTTTTGTTTTGTAAGGACTTATTTAGTCAATCAAACCAGCCAGTGTCGCCTGGTCCACTTTAAGTTTTCTTAAGTTCTGGATTGGAAACTCAGTATGGACCTCTCTGTGCAAATTAAATTTAGTGACACTCGAATAAAACACAAACTCTTTTGAGTTGTTGGTATAATTAAAATTCTATGGACACTTCTAAAATCTAATTAGAGCCCTGTTTAACCTTTTCAGTGGCAGTTTGGGTACGATTCCTGTTTCATCCAGAACCACTTGCTTGTGTATGTACGCCTCGTTCTGGGGTGAGTCGTGTTATGTAACCATTTTGATTCTTTCAATTGATGATTTTATCAACCCAGCTTTTGTTAACTTTTTTGCCTTCCCAGCTTTGCTGGTCAGTTTTTATGCAGCTACAGTACCTTGCCACTCTATGCATTGGTGACTCAGGTAATGGTAGCTATTTTTGCACTTTACTTCATGAAGTTTCATAACTTATATCCATGTCGAGTCCCATTTAGAATGAAATTTGACTTTTTGGAGTGCTCATTGGAAATGCTAGCATTTGGTATATCGTGAAGATCCATAGTGCAATGTTTACATAAGGGTTATTATATTGAATAAATCATATAATAAGATCATTACCTCTGGTACTAAAAATTCATGATGATTCCTAGCTATCAGATATAAAATTGGATGCTTGGTGGTGTACCATTGATGGCGCTCGAATTCAGAGAAAATTATTCTTGGATTTTGTGCAGAAAAAATGCCACCATAGCTACCTGATTTTACTCTCTGATGGCTAGAGTGATTGGGACATTTTTATACCAAAAGTAAATAGGCTTATATGATATAATATCTATTAATAATACAAACCTTGTAAGAACCTACTTTTGTGTTTGTGCTATCATTAAGGGGGCTCTCTGACCTCAGTCAAATGCTTTGAGAATTAAAATCATGGTAGCGCGCACAGAGAGAGAGAGAGAGAGAGAGAGAGAGAGAGAGATTATTTTCTGTTTTGACGATATGGGATGGTGGAATCCATTGCTTGTTTTACTATTGGGCAGATGGGTACCAACTACAAAGCAGCATTGATTCCAAGGAGGATACGAGAAACAATTCATGGATGGAAAAAAGCAGCGAGGAAGAAACGTCGACAAGGTTTCATAACAGATGACTCGACAGTGCGCACAGATACGAGCACGATACATTCGAGTGAAGATGAGCAAGATCCACCAAAAGAAGAACACAAAAACAATGGAGTCATTGAAGAAGTGGAGCTACAACCGGGTTCAAATGTGCCCATTGCTGCTAATGAGGACTCAAACTCAAGCAATGCTCCACTTCTTAGAAACTCAAGTTTGGTGGTTCCTCTCACTTCAACAGAGGGCCATAGAATGAACATACAGAGATCAATGTCTATGCCAGTACGGCGAGAGTAAGAAGGTATCTTGCACATATTCTTGATTTTGGGAAAAAATTGTATGAGAAAGAGAGTGTTGCGTGTGTTACAATGTATCTCTTCTTTTTTTATGGGTTTTTTTGGATAAATATGATGTATGCAAGAACATGTGTAACCCTAATTCCTCTGGTTTTAGTGGCGTAAGTAAAATAGTTTACTATCTCTACACAGACACCCCTTTTTACGTAAGAAAGTTATATGTGCAGTAACGAATATTGTTCCTCTTTTTAATTATTTATTTTTATTTTCTTTTGCAGCAGAAAAGGATTCAGAACAGTGTTTTAATGTCTGCAATATTTTCTTTTCTCTTCCACTAGAGGGGCATTTGTTAGGACTAAGTTTTGGGCTCTCTCTCTCTCTCTCCATTCTGAATCACAGAAAGTGATATTAAGACTTTTGGAGAACCTTCTTTTTTCCATTTTGTAGGTTTTCTTTTTCATCCAGAAATGCGTTAGCACTTTTTTCCCAATTCATGTAAAACTTGTAACTTTTCTTTTTCATCCAGAAATGCGTTAGCACTTGGAGTTGCGTATAATGATTATGCATAATTCCAGGCTCTAAAGGAAGGCATTCTCTTAGTTATTCATATGGGCTATTTCCTGATAGAGATAGAAGTAGATACTATGAAAATTGCTATGTCACATGATACCTGCTGTTCAAGTCTCTCGCCCCATATGTGGTCTATATGGTCTTTCGAGCCGAACATGGTAGCTGATAGCTGATGTTCTCGTAGCGGGCTTATGCAGGCACAACAATTTGGTATTGTAGACCGACAGACTTTCTCTCTCTTCCATTATTACATGACTTAGCATGGCTACCCTATTATAGGGTGTAAAGGTTCACCCAGTTACGAGTGGCAACAGGTCGGGTAGGGGTCAAACCTAGACCAGATTGGACCTGACCCCCCAAAAAAAAATTGTATTTAAATATATTTAAACATTATGTTAAATATATACAACTAAAAATATATGCTTGTCTTTATTGAGATATTAATTAAATAATATTAAAATATTATGTATTCAATGTCATTTATATAATAACACTATTTGGGTTGGGTCCACATGGACCCGGACCCAAATAGTATTTGGGTCCAATATTTGGATATGGACTCAACCTGTCGAATTCAATTCTAGGACCTATACCCGGACCTATGTTAGTTCCGGACGTGGGTCTCGGGTCGGGTCTGCGTCTATTGCCACCCCTACTTTCAGGGTCTTGCGCCTTAGCTCACTCTTTAGAATTATAGTCTCTGGTTCATGAGCAAGTTTATACTTGCTACCTCAAGCAAAATAACTACTTAGGAGGAAATTTTTTTTTTAATCTAAATGTTTTTGATCAACGTTATAATCACCAAATAGGTTAACTTTTACAATACTTCACCTACGGCTTTATCATTGTCTAAAGTTCATTATACGGTCACATATGTCGGATAGTGTTTGAATTTTAATATTTTTTTAATAATCATAATGATCTGAAATTTTGTAGGCGTGTGAGCTTTAGTGAGATGTAGTTGAATAAAATATAAAAAAATAAGTTGGATGAAAAAATGACATAAAATACCCAAGTTTCAAGGGTATTTTCATCATTTTATTTTATCACTATTATTTTTTTATATTTTATTTTGGTGTGATTAGGTCATGTGTATATATGCCCCAAATTTTAGATAAGTTTGGATGATAAAAAATTTATTAAAATTAAAATACTATGAGATAATTGTGACCATGTGATAAACTTTAGATTTAGACAGTGTTCATCTACAAGACTTTTGTAGTGTTTTCCTCTCTCTCTTTATATATATATATATATATATATATATATATATATACTAC